GACAGAGTTTCCTGCAGGGGTTAATACCATGCTCCTTCATTGTTTCCTTTTCCTTCCCCTTCCTTCCTGCTCTCATAATTACTTGCTGCTTCAATTACCTCTTCCTGTCTGCCAGGTTGCCCACCCCACTCACCTGCTGTGTAATAAGAGCTCCTCAGCTGCTTGGCAGGGGATAGAAAGGGCATCCCAAGCGTCACCTCCTTGGACGGGATCTGCTGCCCAGACCCCTACCGCCGATGTGTCTGTGGAGACAGGAGGAGTGTGAATCGCAGCACACGAGTGGCATGCTCTTGAAACTACCCATCCTCTAATCCCAGATTATGGATTTATTTGCCTCTCATGTTCAGCTTAAACTCACTCCAAGACTTCCAAGAATACCGCTCTGTGGGAGCCTACTTGGAAAAAAATTTATAATTAAAGTTTCCCCTAGGACAGGTGCATTCACTTTATTTGACATGTAGTGGAGGTAAATCACATTAAGATCTTCAGAAATTAATTTCTGACTGGAGCAGAAGGGACAGCAAGGCCACCACAGCCCCTCCATGGCCAGCCAGTGACATTCAGCTTATCTTCACAGGTTCTCACACTTAGACACAGAAATTTTGAACATTTCTTCACATTTGCCATGGTAAAGAATGGGTGGCCTATTCTTTACCTGCATCTTTTAAGTTTTACCAGTTATGGTCCTCAGTAGTTCTTCCTCGGAAATCATTTATTGCTTCCAGCAGTTACCTCAGCCTATTCCTTCAGCCACATTTATCAGAAATGTTAGTTCAATGGCAAATTTCCTAACCAGATGTCACATCAAAATTACAGACTGAGCATGTTCTGCTCATAACTTAGCATGTTTGAACATAACATTGAAAGCATGAACTTAATGGAGTGACACTGAATTGAAAACCAACCTTTTAATATAGAAAATGTGCTCTTACCCTCTCCAGGGCTCAGTGTCCAGCCATATCCGAGCAGAAGTTCGGGCGTGAGCAGTGCTGCTACAAAGCAGTGCTCTGACATTTCTGCTTGCCTTCTGCTGACATTCCTGGAAGTTCTCATTTTACACAGAGGGTAGCAGAAAAGCTGCTGCAGCAGGGGCTGAGCATTCCCTGTCAGACTGTCCATGACAGGCTGCAGAGAAAACTACCTCTCTAGGCAGGCCCTACCTTAATGAAAGCAGGGCCAGCAGCCAACAAAAAACCATGGGATTTGGTTTTGTATAATGTATAATGGATTTGGATAATGGAATGCCATGGGATTGCATTAGTCACCTAGCAGTCCTGTGATGTACTAATGAATTCTTAAGTAGGAGCTTTCGCTGTGTTTGAAAGCTTCACAAGTTAATGTATGAGTTCCCCATGATTTTTGGACATCTGTATTTGAGCACTGAGAGGAAAGAAATCTGCTATGAGACTACTAACATGATAGTAAGGGTCTGAAATCAGTTCATTATGAGAAGAACACTTAAGCTGAGAAATAACAGGAATAGCTGGAAGTGTAGGAATTTTACAAGGAAGAAGTGGAACGTGATCAGAGTTATGGAGGCAATGTAGGACTGTGCATCATGGGAGCATAGACATGGGACAGTATGGATTGTGTAGGCAGAATACACAGGGGAAATGAGAAGGGTTTATGCTTTATGTCAAAGTTTTACTTGCTTGTGCAATGGTCCACTGTGGGGCTGCAGACATCCTGTCAGAGATGGGAGGAAAATGAGGGATGTTGTGATAGGGTCTGTTATGGGCCACCTGAAAGAGACACAGTAGTGAAGGGATTTCCACAAGTACTAGAAACTCAAGTCTCCTCTGCCTTAGGGAGGTTTTCAGCCATGTGGACATCTGCTGTGAGGGCAACAGCACCAGGCAAGCTCTGCCAGAAATTCTTAGCAGAAATTCTTAGCTGATGTCAATAGCTGAATGTAAATACTGGCCAGGCAACAGTGAATATTGGAAGCAGGGATGAACTTGTGATACGATCCCAGATGGCACCTCAGACTGCAGCAAATACATGACTGGATGAAGGATCCAGCAGAAAGCTGGGGAGATAAGCAACAGAATTAGCACTCTAGACTTTGTAAGATTGGAATTCATTGCATTCCAGGAACTGCTAGTTAGCATGCACTTTGCAGCAGCTTTGGAAGAGAAGAGACTGCTCAGGAGAGATGTGCTTTGTGAACACAATCATATTGACTTCTGGGGGCTATTTTCCCCTTCATCGGATGCTACATTACATGTATTGTCAATTCTCAAACAGCTTTATTTTCAGCTATGTCCACAGCTGTATTCAAACCAGGTTAAGTCAACACTGCTTTTCTTTCACACCCTACTTAGTGATTTCTACAAGCACTCACTGGTAAAGAGTACTAGAACCCAAAATAACATCTGCCCATACTGTATGGAGCAGTTGTAGTCTCCTATGGGTGTTACACGAGTTGCTTGAGCGTGTGGTAGCCCCTTCTTTATTTGCAGTCGGTATTTCTGTCCTGAAAGGACAGCTGCTGAGAAATGAGGAGATACTTGGTGAACAGCCTGAAGCAGGAAACTTGAGGAACCTGAATTCCCTGAACAGCATGAGCATGGAGAAATTTTAACACTGGACTTCAGTGCTGGACATGGCAAGAGCTAGAAGGAATTCAGCTTCCCAGTTTTCATCTCTCCTGAGTGCAGTCTGTTCAGTATGAGTTGGCTGTCCAACCAAAAAAGGCAAACAGGGCTATGGTCAGTGTACGTTCCTCAGAACTGAATTACTCATACTGGCTGCCACCAGTATCTACCTTATAGTGAGATGCCTCTCAAAATTCATGAACTCTCAAGTTTGTGAAATATGGAAGACTGATTTTAAAAAAATTCACCAAAAGCTGATTCACCAGAGCAATATCTTCCAGTCCCTGAGGCACAGCTCTTGCCCACTGAGAAATTCCAAGACATTTGAAGTGAAAATTTCACTGAACTCAGACGGAACTTTTAACAGGTGTAACCCTTGAACATTTATACACACACCTTTGTGTCTGTGTGTGTGCATGTGTGAGCTCATTTAAGCACTCTACAGCAATTATAGTTTTAATGTTGCTATCTGGGATCTATAATTAAGTCACTGTTGCAATAATAGTAAATCCATTTGAATCACTTTTTGAATATCAAATTAATCAATGATTAAGGTCTGCTAAAACCCTTTACACACAAACTATTGACAGGTCTGGTATTATGATTAGAACCAATTGTACCTAGACTCTGTCAGGAGTTCAGAAATCCAGGGACCCTCTGTAAACCTCATAACTCAAGAGGATGATTTTTCTTATGCTTTTTACCCTTACCCTTTGCATCCCCAATTGTTGTGCAAATAATTTTAAAGGAATTATTATTAGATTTTTCTTGATCTTTGCAGCAAGTAATAGAGCAAACCTTGCCATCAAACTTTGTTGTGCTTTTGCAAATTTATATTGAACCCTCTTTCACTAATGCCTTTGATGGTGATACTTTAAGCAACCTTAACTCATTTGCAACATTTGATTCCTCAACAGTCAGCTCAGGAATCTATTCAAGATCTCTATATCAAAGTGGAGTCTCCCATTACTTGGGATCAAGCTCCCAACTCACTTTATTTCAAATAATTTAAGCTATTGAGAGTGTCATGTATAGAAAACTCAGCTGTAATAGAATTTTACTTCCTGCTTTTTAGAAAATACCACTAAAAATTGGTTCCCAACATTATTTGCTAGTTTTTGACATATTTTCCCTGTTCCTCCCAATGCATATGTTCCTAAAGCATCATAGGCGTTGTCATCACCATTACATGACTGAAAAGTTGTGGTATAAACATACCAAGGAAACTACCATGGGTCAAGGAGCAAATCACTGAGAAAGGCAGCAATAGAACCATGCAAGTTCTCTAAGTGCCTTGAGTAGTCTAGATTCTCTCCTTAACACTCTTGACAAATTATTTATAGATGTATTCACGTAGTCAGTAAGATATAAAAATGTTCTAATTATATCATTCAAATCAAGTGACAATTATGCCCTTAGTTTGACAGACAATGCTTGGCCAAAAAAGGGTTGCCAGAAATGTTTTGACCGAAGAAAGGGGGACCATCTGCAGCATCTGCAGACGAGACACTATAAAATCTGCCAGAGACAAGTCTAGTCTGTCTCTGCAGAAGGCTTCCAGGTAAGTGCATGCATTTCATGAGCTTGAAGAAAGAGAACAATATCCTTGCAATATCCTGTTTAATTTCTTCTGTCTCTAACAACCATTTCCATGAGGGAGTGCCGATGTGAACAAAAATTTTCAGTGTAATTTTAATGCATGCCTGTATTCTCAATCTACAGTATCTTATGGAATTCTGCTCAGCAATAAGAAACAACTGCCATTCCTATTTTACAGGGTTGGCCATATTCCAGGATACAAGCTGTTACCCAAAGGTAATACACTGAATAATCCATTCCTAATCTATATTCTAGGACAGTACTTTTAAACAGCTGCACAAATTCTCTTCATAAATCCTCTTATATTCCAGGTGAATTTGCTTAGGCTAGGTAGTTGGAAACAGGGAAGATCTAAAAAATGAAGTAATTTTTCATTTTTAATAGAAAAGGTAATCCTTCAGCAAGAAAGTACTCTCTTGAAGACTCATTGCTTATAATTAAGGACTCAAACAGAGAGCGATATTTCTATGACTAGATTCTTTTATGTGAAAATTCAAACCTTGTCAGAATTCAGGGTGACTTACCAAATTGTACTCAATATTCAAATGGTCTGCTTACTGTTACAAGATCTACATGTTGTAGAAGTCTAAGTCTTAATCTTGGGTTCAGACTAGGGTACTTTTAACTTCAGATCAAAGTGAATTTAATTGGTTTCTTCCAAAGAGTTTATTTTGGAGACTAACTAGGAATTTATTTGCTAAAAAGCAAGGAACAAGGAGCTTTCTCATAGGTATTAATTGTATTATTCTTCTTGATGACCAATAACATTTTCTTGTTCACAAGACACCTCTGCTGACCAGCTTCCATTAGAGGACAGACATGGCCTCTGGAGATGCTGAGATGGCTGTTTTTGGGGAGGCGGCTCCTTACCTCCGAAAGTCAGAGAAGGAGAGAATTGCAGCCCAGAACAAACCTTTCGATGCCAAGTCATCTGTCTTTGTGGCTCATCCCAAAGAATCCTTTGTGAAAGGGACAATCACGAGCAGGGAATCGGGAAAAGTCACTGTCAAGACTGAGGGGGGAGAGGTGAGTCAAAAACAAGGCTCAAGGACAACATTTTCTTCCCTCACTGCATTCTTAGCTGACATATGAGGATCTTTTGTTTCCTTGGCAGACCCTGACTGTGAAGGAAGACCAAGTCTTCTCCATGAATCCTCCCAAGTATGACAAAATCGAGGACATGGCCATGATGACCCACCTGCACGAACCCGCTGTGCTGTACAACCTCAAAGAGCGTTACGCAGCCTGGATGATCTACGTAAGTGGCAGCAGCAGCTTCCTCTGGGCAGCCTCAGGAGCTGCTGGGCCAGGCTCAGGGGAAGCCAAGGTGCTGTGTCCCTTCCTTGCAGACCTACTCGGGTCTCTTCTGCGTCACTGTCAACCCCTACAAGTGGCTGCCGGTGTACAACCCCGAGGTGGTGTTGGCCTACCGAGGCAAGAAGCGCCAGGAGGCCCCTCCACACATCTTCTCCATCTCTGACAACGCCTATCAGTCCATGCTGACTGGTGAGTGCTTGATTTCCTTTGAGCTGCTCTTGAAATTGTCTATCTGTAGAGGGAAATGTAGGGTATTCTCTGGAAATATGGTGCCGCAGTTAAAAAGAATTGTGTGTGTGAAATTAATGGAAGATTAATGCATTTAACTCTAATGGTCTGTGAGAGCTGAGTGTCAATGCTCCCATTAGAATCATTAAAGATCTGGACATAACCTAGAAGGTGTAAATTCACTGGAAAGAAATCACCTATTTTGTGGTGTGGACCTTATGCCTATAATAGAATCTTACATATATGGATGGATTAATGTATGTTAATCATTAAATTAGTCTCAGATGTAGAGCACAGGGTACAGTTAAATGACACATACCCTATAAATAATGTGCATAATATCAATTTAAGTTTCAAGCATCAGTGCTGACAAATAAAACAGAGAGCTCTACCTTAAAGAGGTATGTAAGCCTCACCTGAGACCTTAATATGCAAATAGATTTCATTATGTAGATGATGGCCATGTGATCTAAATTACATACAGCCTTTAATGATCTCTGTAACTCATGCACTGGTCTGTAGCTGCACCTATAAATCAATTGCACTGTACAGGGAAAACAAAGCTTCATAAAACAATATCAAAGAAAAAATAAAGCTTTTAACATTTAAATTGAACGACTTAAAAAAAATTCTTTCTGTTTTCCCCTCTTCCTTTCACCTCTTATTTTTTCTTCCTTATATATGCATTGCAATTAAAGGTGTGCAGGATTTTAGAACTTTTTCTCCTGTTCTTTCCTTAGACTCTGGGAAATACATTCAGAATAGAGAAACAAAAAATGAATGTTGTCAAAATATAATCTCAAGACTGCATAATTTTTGTATATAGAGGGATTTAAAAAAATAGAGGTGAAAAAGGATGAAAGATGTTGGTCAGATGTTTTTGTAATTAACGATGCCTCCAAATTTTGATAATATTATTCAAGAGACTTTTACCTTCTGGAGAATTTACATACAAAACAATTACAATCCTTAATATTTTCATAAACTCTACTTGCCTATTAAAAGAGAAATAAGTAGCTTGATGGAAAGACAATGTCAGGAAAGACATAAGACTACTGAAGTTTCTCTGCAGTGATTACTTTATAGACCCAGTTGCTAAGATCTGCAGTGCTGCTGACAGCATCAAAAGTACCCACTAGAATTCCCTGGGCACTCTTTGCTATTTTCTTTTCCTGGATCCTCTGGAAGCTCCAGTTCTTATTTTTCTCCTAGTTCTTATTTGTCTTCTCTTACCTCTGTTTCTTACCTCTGTCTCTTCACAGATCGGGAGAACCAGTCCATCCTGATCACGTACGTACACCCCCTGCGCGGGTCCCTGCGGGGCTGCCCGGTGCCAGGGCACCTCCTGCCTGACCACGCACCCTCTGCTTCTCTCTTGCCTTTGGCAGCGGAGAATCCGGGGCCGGGAAGACTGTGAACACCAAGCGTGTCATCCAGTACTTTGCAACAATTGCAGCCAGTGGAGAGAAGAAGAAGGAGGAACATGCATCAGGCAAAATGCAGGTAAAGCAGTACATACATGTTGGGATCAATGCTTTCCTTTTTTCCTGACATGATTTTTGGAAAGGAAACTAGCAATAGTTATCACCCTGCAGGGAACGCTTGAGGATCAAATCATCAGCGCCAACCCATTGCTGGAGGCCTTTGGAAACGCCAAGACTGTGAGGAACGACAACTCCTCACGCTTTGTGAGTTATTAATTAGTACAACTGTCAACATCAATTTGAATATTCTTGCTGTCCAGATTGGTAAAATAAGTCTCAATTGACTTTCCTGCTGCTTTCAGGGTAAATTCATCAGAATCCATTTTGGTGCCACAGGCAAATTGGCTTCTGCTGACATTGAAACATGTAAGACACCCTTCTGCCTGATCCCCCTTCCCTGCAGCCTTCCCCACTTCTTGTGCTTGACTGTGTCCTACCTTCCTTGGCAGATCTGCTGGAGAAGTCCAGAGTCACTTTCCAGCTCAAGGCGGAAAGGAGCTACCACATCTTTTATCAGATCATGTCCAACAAGAAGCCAGAGCTAATCGGTAGGAAAGATCACTAACTTTTTTTGAAGGAAGATCACTGAGCAACAGTTCATTGTGTTATCTGGAAACTAAATTAAGCTTGTTTTTCTCCTTCTGTTGCTTTCAGACATGCTTCTCATTACCACCAACCCTTATGATTTCCACTTTGTGAGTCAAGGTGAGATCACAGTCCCCAGCATTGATGATCAGGAGGAGCTGATGGCAACAGACGTGAGTAACTTCGGCAAATGATTATGTGGTGGACTTGAGCCTTGGTATATGTACATTGCGTTTCTGTTCCCAGAGTGCCATTGACATCCTGGGCTTCAGTGCTGATGAGAAAACAGCCATCTACAAGCTCACAGGGGCTGTCATGCACTATGGGAACCTGAAGTTCAAGCAGAAGCAGCGCGAGGAGCAGGCAGAGCCTGATGGCACAGAAGGTATCAGCAAAGTCAGCAAGTTTTCCAAAGGAGATGGTCTTTATTACATAAGGACTTATGCAGATTTCAGGCTTTAAATGTGGAAACTAAGAATGGCAGTAGTTGCTCCATGCCATTTGAGGCATTTATCTCATTTAATGATACCTCTACTTTTTCCTCTGTCACTACTATATAAGAGATCCAGTGTACACTGACAGTAAGCCAGGAGACTTGCATGTCAATTGCTCTAACATTCTAATCATACTTAAGTTGAAATACGCCTTGCAACATCTGCTGTAGTATGGAGCAGCCTTAACAAGACAGAAGGCTGTGCTCCTCCTCACCCTCACCTACTGGAGAGAACTCTGACATGAGATGTGTACTTCATTAGTCTCTGTCATAGTAGGAAGGACAGTCCATACCTCCATCTTTCTGAGTGATAAATCCTCCTACTATATGACTAGAAGTCTGAAGTTCCATGCTGACACCTGAAAGAGAAAAAAGGCAAGGAGCTCTCTTGAAGAATGTTTGCTGAATCTGAAGCTCAGGAAGAGTTATAGACTCTGAGTTCTGAACACAAATGAGAAATTAGCTTTTTTAGCTTTGACAGATACTGTTGTGCAACCTTGTGGAGAACACTGTTGGGACAGTCAAGCACTGACTTTTTGAATATCTACTCTTCTGTCTTTTCTGGTGATAGTTGCTGACAAGGCTGCCTACCTGATGGGTCTGAACTCAGCAGACCTGCTCAAGGCCCTCTGCTACCCCCGTGTCAAGGTGGGGAATGAATACGTCACCAAAGGCCAAACTGTGCAGCAGGTAGACAAATATGGTAATGTGGAGCATGCTATGATGGTTTCCACTGATTCTCCTCTGCTGTGTATAGTAACCTCCAAAGCTTTCTCTATGCTTTAGGTGAACAATTCAGTGGGTGCCCTGGCAAAGGCTGTCTACGAGAAGATGTTCCTGTGGATGGTTGTTCGCATCAACGAACAGCTGGACACGAAGCAGCCCAGGCAGTACTTCATTGGTGTGCTGGACATTGCTGGCTTTGAGATCTTTGATGTAAGGAGCACAGCTCTCCTAGAATTTTTGTAGAATTATAATTGAGAATTTTGAAATATATTTAATAGAAGTGACTATTTCCCTACACTTTCTCGTAGGGCTTTTGGAATCATGTTTTTAATCCCAAAAAAACAAGAGAATAGAAAACTAACCTTCTCATTGCTCTAAATTAGAAACCTCTCTTTTCTAAATATCCTAGAGAGATAGCAAAGGAAAAATACACAGGAAGGGGACTTGCACTTAAAGTATAAGACATGGTGAATTAGGATTGTACAAGAAAACACCTTGGTATTATTGCTGATCCTTGAAAGCGTTGTATGTCTTTTTATGTCTGGCAGTACAACAGCTTTGAGCAGCTGTGCATCAACTTCACCAATGAGAAACTGCAACAGTTCTTCAACCACCACATGTTCGTGCTGGAGCAGGAGGAGTACAAGAAGGAGGGGATTGAATGGACATTCATTGATTTTGGGATGGACCTGGCTGCCTGCATTGAGCTCATTGAGAAGGTATCCTTCCTTTTCAATTTTAATATAAATTTGGTGTTCTATGCTCGCCAAGAGAACTAAGAAGCATGTGAGAATATTTTGGCTTCTTCAAATATATACTCTGTGAAAGTGGCAACAGGGTAGAAGTGTTTTTGGAGATCATTACTCAGATATGAAGGCTTTTGGTTAGAGAATTCATTGCCAAATTACAAAATGAAGTGAAAAATGTGGTTGTGTTCTCTAAGTACTTACCAGTAAACAGGTTTTATGGAGAGAACAGTATTTCACATTGTCATATCTATAATAATTTCATCAGCAAAGGCATTTCCATAATTTTGAATGAAACAGCAACACTGAAAAAATTGAGCCTTACTTGATTTTCTCTGACTCAAAGTCACTTTGGGAAGAGCTTCCTTTTCTGGTTTCAGCAACTTTCCAGCCAAGAGATGTCTCCTTTCTAATCTGTTTCTCCCTCTTGTCTGTCATAATCTCTCTCAGCCCATGGGCATCTTCTCCATCCTGGAAGAGGAGTGCATGTTCCCCAAGGCAACTGACACCTCTTTCAAGAACAAGCTCTATGACCAGCACCTGGGCAAGTCCAACAACTTCCAGAAGCCCAAGCCTGCCAAAGGCAAGGCTGAGGCCCACTTCTCCCTGGTGCACTATGCTGGCACAGTGGACTACAACATCTCTGGCTGGCTGGAGAAGAACAAGGACCCTCTGAATGAAACTGTCATTGGGCTGTACCAGAAATCATCTGTGAAGACCCTGGCTTTACTCTTTGCCAACTATGGTGGAGCAGATGCAGGTCAGTTTTATGGAAATTGTATTGTTAATGTGGGAGACCTGTCACAGAATTAAAGCCATAAACACTAAACATTTAAAGTTCTTTCATGTTAATTTTAAAACTTTTTGTTTTCCTTTATTCAATTTGCAGAGGCTGGTAGTGGCAAGAAGGGAGGCAAGAAGAAGGGTTCTTCCTTCCAGACTGTCTCAGCTCTTTTCCGGGTATAGTGCTGTATCTCTTATCTCTGAAATGTGAAGAAATGGGGTGAGCTAACATTAAATTTGAGAGTGCTATTTTATATTATTATAAAGGGGGTAAATTTCTTTGGAAATTCCACATCAGGTTTTCCAGGGTCAATTTTAACATTGCAAATATGTCCAAAAATAAGCATTCAGTTTTCAAAATCATGGAAATCTAATTTGTAGTGGTTTTATTTCTTATTTTTTTTATTAGCAGATATCATTCAGCTCTTCATATTTTTAGGTCTGTCTCACTAGAAGGGTTATATTAGTATTCCTCCATTTCTGTTGAGGAGTTGAAAAGAATTTCCAAGGAGATATATGTTTCATTGTAAAAAAATCCCTATTTTTTAAAACTAAAGTAGATTGACTTCTGAAGGCAGAATGTGAAAAATTGAAGTAATTTATTTTTCGTGAATGTGTGAAATTATATATAAGTTTTCACTGAACCAATAGCAGCACTGTAGTATTTCAATCTGGTGCTCAGTGTCTTCAAATAGAAGAAATTTTTTGGCTTTTGTGGCTTTATCGAAATGCTCAAAACCAGCTTGAGAACTTTGCAAAATCATTACCTTGGTGCATCAAACACTCAATAAAAGGAAACTCACACTGAAAACTGGTTACTCTAGGAGAATCTGAACAAGCTGATGACCAATCTGCGGAGCACTCACCCACATTTTGTGCGCTGCATCATCCCCAATGAGACTAAAACACCTGGTAAGAACCCCAAGCAGAAAGATCCTGGCTCTCATACATCCATTCCCCTCTGCTCTGCAATCTGTGCCACTCATTTGTGCTCTGCATTGCCAGGTGCCATGGAGCACGAGCTGGTGCTGCACCAGCTGCGCTGTAACGGCGTGCTGGAAGGGATCAGGATCTGCAGGAAAGGGTTCCCCAGCAGAGTCCTCTATGCTGACTTCAAACAGAGGTGAGAGCTCTGCTCTTGTCAGCATCATTAATGGCAATGTTGGTTCATTTATGGGTCCATTTAGGTTGTGCTCTGTTTTCAAAAAAACCAGGGGGTTTAGAGGCTAGTGTGTGTTGCTTGGAAAAAAACGGCCTTATCTTCCTCTGATTCCAGATACAAGGTGCTTAATGCCAGTGCCATCCCTGAGGGACAGTTCATCGATAGCAAGAAGGCTTCTGAGAAGCTCCTTGGGTCAATCGATGTGGACCACACCCAGTACAAATTTGGACACACCAAGGTACCAACCCCCCCTTCACTGCCTGCCTGGGCTTTGCTCTCTCTACCTGACAGTGATGTGCTGCAACATTGCCTCTCTCAAGGTGTTCTTCAAAGCTGGGCTGATAGGGATCCTGGAGGAGATGAGGGATGAGAAGCTGGCACAGCTCATCACCCGCACCCAGGCCAGGTGCAGGGGCTTCCTGATGAGGGTGGAGTACCAGAGAATGGTGGAGCGCAGGTACACCTTCTCTTCTTTCCCATGATCAAAAAGTCATTTTGATCATGGGAAAGTGTTGACATTCATCAGGCTGAGAATATTCATTGCATTTTTTAATTATGCCTCAGGGAATCCATCTTCTGCATCCAGTACAACATTCGTGCATTCATGAATGTCAAGCACTGGCCATGGATGAAGCTGTTCTTCAAGATCAAGCCCTTGCTGAAGAGTGCAGAGTCTGAGAAGGAAATGGCCAACATGAAACAAGAGTTTGAGAAAACCAAGGAAGAGCTTGCAAAGTCTGAGGCAAAGCGGAAGGAGCTGGAGGAGAAAATGGTGAAACTTGTGCAGGAGAAAAATGACCTGCAGCTCCAAGTACAGGCTGTGAGTTTATCATCTTTAGTTTATCACTTAGAAAATAAGTCTATACATTCGGACTGTTCTTTAAAACAGAAGATCAGACTATAGAAGACCAAAACTCATAAATTTGGGAAATTATCCATCATATGTATGTGAAGCTGGGGAAATAAATTCTGGCAGTGATGTGGTAAGCACTCTGACAGAGAGTTTCAACTGGGAGTCAGTGCTCTTGTCTTCAGAGGAAGGAGGCAAACATAGATCCTTGAAATGAGGTAGAATAACCAATTAATTTTGTGGCAAAATGCAAACCACACTTAAAAGTGGTACTTGTGAATGCAGGTACAGGAAAAACTATCCCCTCTTTTCTTGGTAATTAGCAGCTAAGATCCTTCTGTTGCTGGAATTGAAAGTCAGGTTCATCTGCTACTCAGTGATAAAAGAGACAGAGCAGAGAAAGTTCAAAACATTAGAATCTACAAAATTCTGTCTCCCCACCAGGAAGCAGATAGCTTGGCTGATGCTGAGGAAAGGTGTGACCAACTCATCAAAAACAAAATCCAGCTGGAAGCCAAAATTAAGGAGCTGACTGAAAGGGCTGAAGAAGAAGAGGAAATTAATGCTGAACTGACAGCCAAGAAGAGGAAATTGGAGGATGAATGTTCAGAGCTGAAGAAAGATATTGATGACCTTGAGCTAACACTGGCCAAGGTGGAGAAGGAAAAACATGCCACTGAAAACAAGGTATAAGGTAGAACCTATCACTGGCACTCTGGAAAAGACTTGTCTTGTTACAAAGTTTTAAGAGCCATTTTCTGTTTGTGTTTGCTCCCTTCTTCTCATAGGTAAAAAACCTGACTGAGGAGATGGCAGCCCTGGACGAGACCATTGCCAAGCTGACAAAAGAGAAGAAAGCCCTCCAAGAGGCCCATCAGCAGACCCTGGATGACCTGCAGGCAGAGGAAGACAAAGTCAATACTCTGACCAAAGCCAAGACCAAGCTGGAACAGCAAGTGGATGATGTAAGCACAGAGCCATAGAGCAGGAACAGGACAGGTATGGAGTCCAAGCTGGCTGGCAGAGCCCTGATGGTCTTGTTGTGTTCAGCTGGAAGGGTCCCTGGAGCAAGAGAAGAAACTGCGCATGGACCTGGAGAGAGCGAAGAGGAAACTGGAAGGAGACCTGAAGCTGGCCCAGGACAGCATCATGGATTTGGAGAATGATAAGCAGCAGCTGGATGAGAAACTCAAGAAGTAAGTGTGACTCTGGGATTCGTGAGTGCTGGGCTGCAGCACTTGTCTCTTTTCTTTGAGCTCGATGTGACCAGCTGATCAAACTAAAATTCCAGCTGGAAGCAAGAATAAAGGAGGTAATGGAAAAGCTGGAAGATGATGAGGAGATGAATGCTGATCTGGCAGCCAGAAAGAGGAAACTGGAGGATGAATGCTCTGAGCTGAAGAAAGATATGGACGACCTTGAGTTAACATTGGTCAAGGCTGAAAAGGAAAAGCATGCCACTGAAAACAAGGTGCTTTTTATTTCTGCAATGTTTAATAACAGTTGCTGTGTTGATGTATAGGCTGTAAAGATTCAGTAAACTTGGATGCTTACATGCTGCTGTGTGAGGAGATCTATGGGCCTGGTATTGAACCTGGGCACCTCTGTTGTGCAGGAAAACCAACCCATAAGCATGCAAAAATGCATTAAAATTAAAGTTCAGCATTGCTGTGTGACTTCTGAAGGATTGATATATAAGCAGAGAGATTGTAGAGTGTGACCATAAAATGGTCAAAGCCTCTTTGGGAGTCTAACTGCAAGTTCATTGTCTGTGTTCATGTTATTAGTGACCTTGAAGTGTTTTGCCTTACAACAGGTCAAAAATCTGGCTGAAGTAGTGACAGGTTTGGACAAGACTGTTGCAAAGTTAGTGAAGGAGAAGAAGGCCCTGCAAGAAGCCCAGCAACAGGCACTGGATGACCTGCAAATAGAGGAGGAGAAAGTTAATACCCTCACCAAAGCTAGGATCAAGCTGGAGCAGCAAGTGAACCACGTGAGCATGTTCAACACAAGGAGAAGGAGCAGATTCTTTAGTTGTTCCATCAGTCATGTTTATGTATGTTTATGTTGCAGGCTGAAGGATCTTTGGAACTTGAAAGAAAAGCATGTGTGGACCTTGAACGAGCAAAGAGAAAACTTGAGGGAGACTTGAAACTTGCACAGGAAACCATAGTAGATCTGGAGAATGATAAACAACATTTAGATGAAAAATTAAGGAAGTATGAGAAACAAATTAGTAGATAATTTATTATTTGGCTTTAACTGGACATATTTTCTTTTAATAAAACATCTCATTCACAGGAAAGACTTTGATTTTAACCAGATGCAAAATAAAATTGCAGAACAGCGAAATTCAGGTACTCATTTGCAGAAGAAGATCAGAGAACTGCAGGTAAGAGACTTTACTTCATCATTACTGTTTGCTTGTTTTAAGGTGTAGTACCATGAGTAATGCTTGCCCAGAGTTTGGCATTGGCTCTGTCAGACACAGGGGAAGCTTTCAGCAGCTTCTCATAGAAGTCACCCCTGTATCCCCCCCACTGTCAAAACCTGGTAGTGGGGGGATACAGGGATGCAAACCCAAGCAAACTCAATACAACAACAGAAAGCTGTGATCTAAAGCTAGAATGAGTTGATCCATAGGTCCTTTCTGCCAGTAAGTCTTTACCTACAATGCCAAAACAGTGAAATTTGAAGGAAGTTTGTTTTGCTTACAGTCTCCAAAACAAGGTTCTTGGTGTACTACTGTGACAAATATGCAGTAACCTAAGCACTGAATGACCTGTTCCCTGTTTAATTCCTGATGTGCTATTCCCTCGTTGTCCAGGCTCGTGCTGCAGAGCTGGAAGAGGAGACCATGAGTGAGAAAACAACACGGACAAAAGCAGAGAAGCGTTGTGCTGAGCTGGCTCGGGAGCTTGAGGAAACCCGCGGGAGCCTTGAAGAGGCTGGAGGAGCCACCACTGCTCAAACAGAGCTCAGCAAGAAGCGCGAGGCAGAGTTCCAGAAGATGCGCCGTGACCTGGAAGAGGCCACGCTGCAGCACGAAGCCACGGCTGCCGCCCTGCGCAAGAAGCACGCGGACAGCACAGCTGAGCTGGGCGAGCAGATCGACAACCTGCAACGCGTGAAGCAGAAGCTGGAGAAGGAGAAAAGTGAGCTGAAGATGGAGATTGATGACTTGGCCAGTAACATGGAGTCTGTCTCCAAAGCCAAGGTATGGAGTTTCTGTCATGTTACTGCCGTATTATACACACCCTAATACATGACTTTGATTCTGTTTGTATTCTTCTATCACATCCAGTTGCATTGTTTTTCACCTTGAGAACTGTATGCTAGAACTTAGTGGTAGGCCTCTTTTTTTACGTGACTTTGACACACAGGCAAACCTGGAGAAGATGTGCCGCACTCTGGAAGATCAGCTGAGTGAGATTAAGTCCAAGGAAGAAGAACATCAGCGCATGATCAATGACCTCAATGCTCAAAGAGCTCGTCTACAGACAGAGTCAGGTAATACACCCCTATATCCCCTCAAAAGGAACAACATGCAACCAATAATAACAAGAAAAAACCAAGGAAGAAGAACATCAGCGCATGATCAATGACCTCAATGCTCAAAGAGCTCGTCTACAGACAGAGTCAGGTAATACACCCCTATATCCCCTCAAAAGGAACAACATGCAACCAATAATAACAAGAAAAAAGATTTATGCTTTACTCAAATTGATCTATTCTCTGTAAGCTGGTATACTGTGCTTAAAAGAAATATTGATTTTAAGTGGCAATCTGTCTGAAAACTTTCTTAGGTGAATATTCACGCCAGGTGGAAGAAAAAGATGGTTTGATATCTCAGTTATCCAGAAGCAAACAGGCATTCACTCAACAGATCGAGGAACTAAAGAGACATTTAGAGGAAGAAATAAAGGTAAAGTCACTTCCTGTAGGAGGCTGATTTTGGATTGGGAATCTGTTTTCTTTATGGATATCTCCTACTCTCATGTTAAATCAGAATGTTAGCTGTATCATTTTAATTTTTGAGATATCAAGCAAGGTGAGAAATTTTACCTCTTCCCTCTGTGGTGTGAAAAGCTGAGGAAGACATCCCCTCCAATGTGGATACTGAGATAGGGAAAAACAATTTTAGGTCTTTAATCAATTTATGATGACAAATAAAAAATGATTGAGAGATATCTAAAAAGAAACTGAACATCTTAGTCTACTTTTTCACAGTGGCATCTGAAACTTTAGAACATATTTAAAAGGATTCAATAATTTGCAGCTGTATAGCTGTCATTTAGAATTTGTCCATCATCTCTCCTGAGAAGGCAGTCTAGATTCTTGAAACATGGAATGAATATGCCACTTTTTCTTGATGTGACTTTAAATGTCATAATCCAAGAATTTTCAACAACTTCCATCAAGTTACCATTTTACTATCTCATGGGAAATTAATTGTCCTAAACCAATTGTCCCCACAGGCCAAGAATGCCCTGGCCCACGCCCTGCAGTCAGCTCGCCACGACTGTGACTTGCTCCGGGAACAATATGAGGAGGAGCAGGAGGCCAAGGGGGAGCTGCAGCGAGCCCTGTCCAAGGCCAACAGCGAAGTGTCCCAGTGGAGAACCAAATACGAGACGGACGCGATTCAGCGCACGGAGGAGCTCGAGGAGGCCAAGTACGTGGTGATAGAAAAAGCAGAAAAGTAAGACTGAAAATTCAAAGGTGACATTGAAAGCGAAACATCAGTATATAATGAGAAATAAGTGAGGGACCTGATTTGCAGAAGAGCAATAGAAAATGAGAAACTTTATCCTATAATATATTTAGTATCGTAGAAAAAGCAAAGTACAGCATAAATGTAGCCCTTAGCACTGTGTGACTGTAAACTGCAATTTGATTAGGCACACTATAATAAAAAGCACGCACTGATACTCAGCATTAATGTGAGCTGACCTTATGTCTCCCAGGAAGAAGCTAGCCCAGCGCCTGCAGGATGCAGAGGAACAGGCTGCAGGATCTGGTGGACAAGCTGCAAATGAAAGTGAAATCCTACAAGAGACAATCTGAGGAGGCCGTAAGTATCTCTCTGAATGCTTGGCAAGAACCACTTTCCCAGAGGGTAATCTGGCCATTTAGTAGACAGATATAAGCAATTTAGAAGATACCAACAGAGATGCTCATCAATTTCAAATGCTCTCATATTCACTGAAAGGCTGACAAAATGGTCTCCCCTTTGAGAATGAAAACAATGAGCCCTTAAGAAGAGTACTGAGGAGGGCAAATGCACATAGCATTTTTTGCATTAAAACCACAAAACCTCTGATAATTTTTATGAATTATATCCCCAGTGCAATACATAAAGAAATTTTGCAAATACCTTATTTTTAGAATTTTTGATAGCAGAAAGGGAAGTTGTTGTAAGTCCCACCCCAAACCACTTTGCATTCTGCTTTTAGAATAGTGCAAGGAACCTTTGCTTGTTTCTGGGCATGCAGCATTCAGGGATTGACTGAGGATCCTACAGCCCCTGAATTTATGATTGTCTGAGCATGGCTTCTTCATTGTGGAAACAGTCCAGCAGAGAATAGGGCTTCTGGTTCAGTTAAGGGGATATATGAGAATGACTCTGCAATCTCATTAATCTCACTGTGGTGGGTGGAGTTTGGAGGTTTGTGACTCCACCCAGGCCAAGGCCCACTAAAAATGAAAACCCCAAAATTCTCACTACCAACTCCTTCTCCCTTCCAGGAGCAGCTGTCCAATGTGAACCTCTCCAAGTTCCGCAAGATCCAGCACGAGCTGGAGGAAGCCGAGGAGCGGGCTGACATTGCAGAGTCACAGGTCAACAAGCTCCGAGCCAAGAGCCGGGAGTTCCATAGGAGGATAGAAGAGGAAGAGTGAGGATGTCACAAGGCACAAAAGTGACCTGAGGGCTGCACAAAATGTGAACCTCTTGGTCACTTTCCTTCTGCCATGAGCCTTTGTACCCACCTCAGTGTCTAGTGAATAAAGACTGTAGTAGATTCCTCTGCATACACACTATGGCCAGTGGTTTTGTTCTTTGGGTTTTGTGTTTCTTGGGCAATTGCATTGCAGAAGAAGTTTCCTTCCTTTTCCTCTCTGGGAGAAGGGAAAAGCAGGGGTCGGTGCTGGATTGAGGATCTGCAAACTTAGAGGCTGGCCATTGCCATGGAGACTCCTGAAAAATCCAGCCTGTGCTCTCTGCTGTCTCCAGCAGCTCTTTGTCCAGCTCCTGCCTAATGCTTCTCCCATTTGCCTTTCAGCACAGCTTCTTTTCCATGGGAGAGTCAAGAGAGGGTGATCCTTTTGCTTTTTCCTTTTCCTACTCTTGTTTGTGATGCTGGCTCTCATAAACCCTAAACATCAGTCTCTGAGAGAGTCATCAGAAGGTGCAGTGCACTGCACTGTGAAGGACTGATAGTTCCTTGACAGCGATGATTTCAGTCACAAAGAGCAGTTACAAGACACCAGTAGTGTCCCTACATTGTGCCATCTCCCTCACCCTAGGATTCCTCAGCTGCTGCCACCAGCTGCTGCCAGTTTCTCTTGAGTTGGCAAACAGCTGAGCTTGCCTGGGGCCATGTGCTGTTAGGACTGTCAGGACTGTCCCTTAGTGCCCAGCTCTCACACGCCACATGGCTCCAACACACCTCCTCACCACACTGACAGAACACTCAGAGGATTTTCCCAGAAACCTCAAAGGCCATGGGGCTCTGTGTATACACTGAGTCAAACAGGTTAGTGAGAGCTGAGGGCTATGAAGTTAATCTGGAAATCTTTTCAGCAATATCAGCTCATGAAATTGCTCCCACTGTTGCAGCTGTATCCCTTTCTGAAGCTGTCACAGCCAGCCACCCCATCTCCATTTTGCAGAAGCCCTTGATGCAGACCAGTGAGGGGTCAATGAGCCCTACTGTCACATGAGACACCTAGAGAGTTTCTTTGATGACTTGTCCAAAAGCATTGTCCCAAAGGACACCAATGGGGAATGACTGGCATGTCACTGAAGAAGCAACCTTCTCATTGTGGGTGTAACTGTGTCTGTTCTGACCTACTATAGGTATCTTTATGTTTTTTGTACAATCAGCAGCTTCTTCCTCCAGCTTTCTGCCTGTTTCTCTTGCACACACTGTCTTATATTCACTGGTGTCTGCAGTAAAGAAATGCGGAAATAGGGCTAACAACATCTGGGTTGTCCTCTCTTCTGGCTGGGGAGTGCAGACAGCTGAGATCTCTGGAAATAGCCTAACATTCCCTAAAAAGCGAACAGTAGCTTTATCAAGGCCGTAAGTATCTCTCTGAATGCTTGGCAAGAACCACTTTCCCAGAGGGTAGTTTGACCATTGAGAAGATAGATATAAGAAAGTTGGAAGATGCCACTCATCAGTAATGGTCTTCTAATTCTCTGAAAGGATCATAAATCAGACTTGCCATTGAATCACAAAAAGACTACTGAGGAGGGCAAATGCACATAGCATTTTTTGCATTAGAACCACAAAACAACCTGTAAGGAGTCTTATAACTGATATCAGTAATACAATTCACTAAGAATTTTTGAAAAAAACTTCTTTTTAGGGTTTTGATAGCAGACAAGGAAGGTGTTAGAATTCCTCTCCCACACCACTTTGTGTTATGCTTTTATAATTGTACAAGGAACCTGTCCCTGTTTCTAGGCATGCAGCAGTCAGGGATGCCCTGAGGGAAGTCTTACAGCCCCTGAATTTATGATTCCCTGAGCACAGTTTCTTCATTGTGGAAACAGTCCAGCACAGGGTAGGGTTCTGGTTCAGTTAAGGCAATTTTTCAGAGGAGCCCTCTTGTAATCGATGTCTCTTATAAATTCCTAATCCACTTAAGGATCTGCAGATGTAATTGAATATTTGATTCTGCACTAACAACATCACATTTCCATCTGCCCATTTTACTTCCTTCCCACATTCCAAAGCAAAATTATGTTTAAATCCCATTATACTCCTTCTACAATGGATCTTCCTCAAAGGCAAGAATGAGGAGCCATGTGTGAGGGTGACATGAGCACTGGAAGAAATGGTATGGAGCTTTATGCTTTCCCCCAAGGGAAAATCTGCACCTCAACAAAGCCAAGGTGCAATAGGAACAACGCCCCTGCTCACTGGACACCCTGTGGAGCAGCCCAGGGAGAGTGACTGAAACAGTTCTCTTGACAACAGTGATCTGGCTGGACCTTCATAGTGCAGGCACCAGGAGAGGCCTGGGGCTCTGAACACCCTCACTCCTCCTAGGAGGAGGTCCAGCTGTCACACATGAGTACTTCCTGGACTCTTAGGCCATTCACATGGTCTACCTGTATGGAACGTCAAAATACACAAACAATCAAGATATTCTTCCCTGTAAAATAGATTTGAACATGGCAGTCTGAACCCAAGCAAAGCCCACCTGACCTTCACTGTTCAATAAAAAAGAAGAGCAGAGCGACATTGGAAAGAAGAAATCCTCCTCATCATCTTCTTTGTCTTCCTTTCCTGCCCTGAGGTTTTCTTCTGTAGAGGGGACATATTCCCCTGGGACATGTCAGCAGGACCAGCTTCCCAGGAGACAGGCCTGTGAGAGGTAGGGTCAATTTCTAGCACACACTGCAAATCCAGGCCATCTCTCCCTCAGCTGGTAGAGCAGCAGGATAGGATCAATGGGGCAGAACAGCAAGTGCTGAGGACCTGGCACCTAGACTGAAATGGGTTTTCAGGGCAAAGGATGGAAGTCCCAAGTGGTGAATGTCAGTCTGAGGTAAGAGCACATTCAATGGGCCCCTAGATCATACCTGTAATGCAAATCAAACAGTGGGGCAACAGGGATTTTCCTCTTTTACACTAAGTATTAATTAGGACCTTCTCAAAGACTCCCCATGCAATCACTGCTGATTCTACCATGGCAGAATGTGCAGAGGAAGGGCTTGAGAGACACCCACCCCCAAAGATGCTGTTTCTGTCCCAAAGGGATGGTTCCATCTGGGAGTCTCTGTGCAGCTGAGGCTGCATTTACAGAAGAGCCCTCCAGCTCCAGTGCCCTCAAGTCATCTCCTTCCTGTTGCTGACAGGGATGAGGTCTTTCCTCTCTTTCTGCCCTGGCATGTGGCAGTGAGTTGCCCACAGCTGCAGGAGGGAGGGGCTTTGGAAGACCAAGAACAGACAATTGCCCTATTTAGGTGAGCTGTGCTTCATGTCTTGGTTTGGTGGATCCCTTGTCCAAGGAGGAATCTGTGGCCAGAATGTGACTTTTCCATGATAATAGAGCTACTGAGATGGACACAGGCTGTCCCAGCATGAGTCTGCCAAGAGACTTGTGTCTTCAGGGGAAAAAACTGTGACCTAAAATACCCAGAGCTACATGGCAGGTAAAGAATACATGAGCATCCTGTGCTGTGATTTCTATTGGCTTTTAAAGCAGAGGTATGCAGTGCCACACTTGGAAACCACATCATGTATCTGCCACAGGAGCTGCCCTTTTGACCACACCATGACTTATCACAATTCCCTGCCCTGATTACCTGACATGGTTGTCACATTGCAGACTTTGTGAAGGTCCTGAGAGATTTTTGGGACAGGGACATCCAAACACTTTGGCAGGGTGAAATGGCATCAGAGTTCAAAGTAACTGAGAAACTGGAAAAGTTGTCTCAAATCTTCAGAAGTAAATGCAATAAAGAGAAATAAAGTACTTTTTTGATGATTAGTCAAGAAAGTTTATGGCTTTTGAATTAGGAAGAAAAGTAAGTGGAGGTTATAACCCATCAAAACTTAACTTTGGGGGAAAAAAGGTATATTTTGATATTTCTGAAGGTTTCTATAAAATTTTTTGGTTTGCATTTGTGTTTGTATGTTATTGTGGCAGACCTAGAATGTTTTCGTGGTAGGAAAGAGTTCACTGGGTTTCGTTGGTAAATAAGTGAATAAGAAAAACAGCATTTTTATTTTGGATAATATCTTTTGAACAATATAAAATTATTAAAATATCATAAATTATAAATACTTCGAAAATATAATATGCTGTACTTGGAAAATTATCATATTCATTAGGATTCTAAACTCATATCACACTTATTGAATGTTTTATTTTGCAGGGATTTATTTAGGATTCTTACATCTTGCTATAATTTTCAGTCTAAACTAATAATTTCAAGCAACATGTGCTCTTCCTAAAGCCATCTTTAGATAGATTATTCTAGTCCTATGTGTTCTCCTGGGAATTACAGCACAGCTTTATTGAAGATCCATATTACATTATTAGGACACATGTAGAACACCCATGAGAAACCAAAGTTTTACTATTCTTAATGTGTATCCTCTCAAAACTGAAAGCAAATTTGGAGAACCCTCTTCTTCCAATGTAAATAATTTTATTTCATATTGCTGTTCTCATTTCTTTTCTTTCCATGCTCCTTTTGCCTTTTCCTTCTCCTTCCATTGCCATCAGAGCCTGTCCACCTCACTCACCTGTTTGGTAACTGAAGATTTTCAGTTACTCTGGCATGTGATGGAAAGGGCATCCTGAATGTCACCTCCTCATCCAGAGCCTGCTGCTCATGTTTCTTTCTCTGACGTATGCTGTGAAGATGGGAGGAATTTGAGTAACCATAGAAATCTCACGAACAGAAAGCAGTTTATCATTAAGTCTAAAAATTCTGAGTGTCAACTGTCACTAATCTCTAGCTGTTTTTGCCCTCCCTCTTCACTTTTCTTTGCAAGACTTACTTTTCCTCAGTGGGCAGACACTTTGCTCTCACCAAGAAAATAAAGACATTCCTAGGTTTAAAATATTCTGTTGAAACTTCAGAAGTCCCACATGTTTTCCCTTCTGTGAGATCAGCTAATAATTGCATCAAGCATTGCAGAAATGAGTCTCCA